CAGTAGTGGCAGCAGTCTTAGTAGTCGGTAGCGCTGGTGGTGGTTGGTGTGGAGGCAACAAACAACGCAGACAGTAGAAGTAAAGTGGCATCTTGCAGCATACGATTTGAAGGGGTATGATTCGGGTGTATGATTCGGGGGTATGATTCGCCAAGGTCCAACCTTCTGCCTTGTGAGGCAACTCGACACAGAAAAAAATGACAAACCCATGTGTCTAAACATAGGAGGCACCCCCAAACTTGGTGGTTGGTAGCACCACCCCAAAAAGAAACGGTACTTTTCACCTCACAGACGCACAAACACACACCCATTAAACAGTGGCATCCTCCAAGTCAAAGCATTCCGCCCCAATGCGGCCCCATTCTACGGTTCAAACAAATCGGGGAACCACACCGAACGCTCCCCGCGTGGACACCTAGCTGAGTGGCCGGCACGGGGATTCGATGTCCCCACCAGAGCTGACGGGAGATGCACCAGGGCTGCTTCTCCTTCAGCCAGTCGTTCCAGATCCTGGCCGAGGTCTCTGACTGAAAAAAATGGCGTGTGGTTTGGTGAATTCTCAAGTGAGTCATACTCAAAACCGATCGGTACTAAAATGGTCCGCCCAGAAACAAGAATTGAAAAAGGCGGTGAAGGCACCCATTGTTGGTTGGGAGCGTCCCTTACACTCCTTCACTTAACCGGGGTTTGATTGTCGCTCAAGTGCTCGCCCTTTCTCTCAGACATCATAAACATGATGCCCGCAAACCACACCAAACAAGTAAACAAAAAAGCCGCTAGGTCTCGGAAACTTCTGGGAGAATGGGAAGCTAAGACATGGTAGCAGGGCTTGACAAAGCGATCAGGCTGGATGGTGAGCTCGCCAGACCTGGCACGCGGTGCTTGAGACCTCCAGTGGCCAATATGAGAGGAAAAACGGCACCATAGCCGTTGAGTTGAAACCACGGACGTGGCCCCTTTCGAAGGAAGGTCGACACCCAGACAAAACTGGCAACCAAAGAAATGTCGTCCAAACTAGGCCCCCCTGTGAGGTTCCATGTTAGATTTAGATGGGAGGGGAATTAAGTTTCAAGGGAACGCCGGCGCTTTGGGAGAAGACCCGGGGTCCCAGCGCAACGACGTCCATCGCGCGCTGTGCCATGACCTCAGGTGGAAAGAGGGGGGTCTCTCAAATCGAAGTACCTCCAACAGGGCAAGATGGAACCGAGCAAATCCTCTGGAGGTGGTCAGCCATGGCTTAATTTGGGGCTCCCCCCCAAATCAAAAAAAATATGATTTTCATGTAGGTGTCCAATGTGATTTTCATGTAGGTGTCCCTTTAAAACAAACACACACAGACACACAAAACAAAATAAATAAGAAGTTGTTCATGTAGGTGTCCCTTTAAAACCAAAAAAGAAACAGGTATCCCAAAAAAAGACACACCCATTTTTGACCACCGGCCATGGTGCGCTTTCTGAATTCAATCCCGCCTCGGTGGAGACAAACCACTGGTCCGACAGCATGGGTTCAATGACCTCGCCGCTCCTCGGCGCTGAAACCGCGCGCTGGGCAAGATTTGGTTCAAGCGACAAAGCCGGAACGATTGGGGGATCTAAGGTCCCAAAGGGCCTTTACCCAAAGGCCCAAGAATGATGGGGCCTTCTCCAAAGGCTCTCCAAAGGAATGATTGGGTGATCTTCTATCATTCTACTTCCCCTCATCAAGAAATTCACGGGCCCCTGCCTCTGCGAGAGCGGCACCCGCTGCATGTGGTCCTCTCAAAGGACAAGGTGGCAACAAAATTGAGGCCCCGTGTCCGTTGGGGAAACTTGGTGGTGGTGGTGGTGGTGGTGGTGGTGGCGGCGGCGGTGGTGGTGGTGGTGGTGGTGTTGGAACACGGAATAAACCCACTCCAAGCCAGCGAAACCCCATCGATTGTTGCCAAACGATCCTAGAAAGGACACCTATGGTTCTGTGCCCCTGGATAGACTGGAGTTCACCGAACATCGAGTCCTCCACTTTCAGCACCAGGCCAGCTGCTTCCAGATCAGCCCAGAGCTTCTTCCGGCCTCGTGAAGGAAGAGGACACATCGCTGAGCCTTCGTAAAACGAGACGCATCTTTTCATACACCGCATGCTTGTGCCTTATCGAGATATGAAAATGAATGTACCAAAGTGTGTGTGCTCTGGTGGGCATTCACGCAACGTATTTTGAACACGAGCTAGGCCCAAAATGGCTTCGGTGTCCCTTTGGGCTGATTTTTACAGCCACCAAAAAGGAGGTTTCCCCAAAAAAGGCCGACGATTTTTTCACAACGATTACTCCTGAAACAAGCCTTGGATCCCAAGCAAAGAACCTTAATCATAGTGAGTACGCTTTGAGCCCCAGGTGAGCTTACCATGAATGGAGGATTTTTGGGGCGGGACCAGTCAATGATAGATACTCAGGCCGCGGCAAACGGCACGGTCCAGGCCAACGTACTGGGGGGACCCTGGGGATGTTCTGCCAAACGTTACGGCTTTGTCAACAATTGGTACCTGCAGTCCAGCAGTCCCCTGGTGGCTGATTTTGTTTGACACATATCATTCGAAACCTGCCTGAAATGAAGGCTCCCCACTACATGGCATGGTGAGCTCGTTGTTTTTCCCCGAGCTCCTTCACTTCGCCATGCCCGCCTAAGGCCTCCAGGGTGTTGGCCATGCACCCATCCAAGCCAATGACCTTGGCCCCAAGCACTGGCTAAGTTAGAACCAACCAAGCAACCAAAACAAACAAAACGAAACCACCAAAGCAAAGCAAACCAAACCAAAGCAAACCAAAACACACCAAACCGACCAACCGACTCAACTGAGCAAAGCAACCAAGCAAAGCAAAGCCAACCAAGCCCCGGCGCTACCCCTCTGAGCGCTGGCACCGTGTGGCTTTCCAGCCCATGGCGCTCCCCGAGCTCGAAGTCGTTGAAGTCGTGCGCAGGCGTAATCTTCAGCGCGCCGGTGCCGAACCTGAGGCGCCAAAAGAGACGAAGCAACGACCCATCGTGGAACGTCAGTGGGACAGAGGCGTGGTGTGCGGGTGCCGGAGCAAGCTACGCAAAGCATCTCGACAGGAGGCTTCGGCGTGCGGAATGAGAAAACTGGGGCCCCTGCTCTCTATCTACATAGGCATCGGCGATCACTGGAATCCGTCTACCTCGTTGAGCGGCCGGTTGGTGTGGAGCTGCTTGGCTGAAGGCGTCAAAACTCCGTTTCTTTGGCCTATGGTTCTGGTTTTCTTAGGAATCAGTATAACGGTTAAGGATCCTTACCAGAATGACCATCCTCGGTCTTGTGACCATTGCAGATAGGGAAGGCGTCTGTTCCTTGACAATTGGCCCCTGGCAGAGTGATTAGACTTATTGGGGTGAAACGCAGATCAGCAGATCAGCTAGGGAGGCGGCCCTGCACAGGCACAACGACCTCTTTGCCGATCAAGTGCTGATATCGTTCATCCTCACAGCTTCCATCTTCCAGCAAATTACAAGTGGAATCGGCTAGCAATTGAGGTTCGACCATCTGACGTGCTGACTGCGATTGAATTCCACTTGTCCAGATCAGGGTAAGCAAGGAACAACCAGGATTGCCTAGCTTGCAAGTGACCTACAAAAGGCAATCGAACTCAGCCGCGGACCTCTGGATGAACGCAAACAGCTGTATCACCAAGGATGGTCTCCGGCCGGGTCGTGGCCACTGGGATGAATTCCTGGCACGATGTTCGGTATAAGTGCCTGCTCAGGACATTTTGGCTGCAGTCCAGAGCTTATGTTTCCACACCACTTCGAACTCGGCTGGACCTTGACTCTGATGCATTCACCTGACGTCAGCCGGCCTCAGGCTCTCCATCCGGGCCTGCAACCACATACCTCAGAAACATAAATCACACCGCTATATCGAAAAGTTCATGCGAAGAGGCTCTGGCTTGAAGTGGTACAAATGCCCTTGCTGATCTGCATACTCCACCTGCCACGGGCACATCAGCACAAGGGCAGGGAGTGGATATTTGGCTGGGACATGGGATCTGCTTTCCTCGTGCAATTGACTCGCACACGTCCATGTGGCAACTCCGACCAAGCTGCGAGAAGAACTCTGCCTCCAGGTCGCTCACGGCGGTCTGCAGCACCGGGCTCCAGTTCACCATGCGCTGGCCCCGGAAGATGGCGCCGAGCCTCGCGCCGGCAACTCGTCTCAGGCGCGGAGCTCCGCCCGGTTGGCCTTCCCTTAGGCTTGGGGACCGCTGGGGGCCAACCCCCAACTCCACAAGAAACAGCTACCCAAGGCAGACAGGGCCGCGGCTCATGCAGCCGGCAAAAGGCCTCCACCACCTAAGTTAAAGATGACATGATGGTTCAAGAAACCAATTTGCGATAGCCCAACACGGTGCCTTCCTTTTCCGCGCTTAAGGGTCAAGGCCGAACACATGGGTGTCAGTCAGAATAGGAGGTTGGACCGATGGCTTTTGGCCCTTTATGCCCTTTCTTTCCAACCCCCCTAAAACGGAACCCTCGAAGAAAGACACACACACACATATACACTTGCACACCCAACTGCGTTTCCCCTGCTTTTGGAACAACCCTACGGCAAAACTTCCGCCGTATGGCTCCCGCTGATGCGCTCATGTTGTCGTTCAGGGTGAACTGCCTTCGCAGGCATCGAGTGACTCACAAAGCTAGGCAACCTGCATTAGCTTTAATAAATCAACCTCAAGCATTCATTATGTATACATATATATATATATATATATATATATATGTATATTACATTATCCCTATGTATACATATATATACATACATATCATATCATCTAACCGTATGCGTATGCTATGCTTTTGATATATAATGAAATGTGTACATATACATATATTTTCTGTATATCAGATGCACTACATATTAATATATACACATTACGTCTGCTGACTCCTTGTCCCTTGCTCTGGCTCCCTCACTCTTGGCTGCCGGCTCTCTGGACCAGTCCGCGGAGGCTCCGAGGCGCCGCATCTGATCCACCTCGGACGTCCCATCCCCGTGCGAGAAGGCGCGCCGAGAAAACTTACGAGGGGCTGCGAGAAAGGCAGGGAATGTGGAAATCAACAGGTTTTGGGGTCGCCCAAAAGGCAAGAAATGAACCCAGGAATGGGTGCCCTTAAAGGAAACCACCAGTTGGATGCTAGGGCGGGCCTAGGGGCCATTTGGCTCCTGAAAAAAAAAAAAACGCTGCTCATCTGAGGGGAAGGCAATGGCGCCACCCTTCTCTGCCTTCCACTCCCAAACCTCACTGCGGGTGAGTGGCTGCCTCGAATTTGCAGGAATCCTTGGTGGACATTCATTATCTATATGGAGATGTACGTCCACTAACCATTTGGGAGATGATTGCTTATTCAAACATGGCCAACCCAAGCTCCAGGACCCTCACAACCAGCAAGTTGGGGCACGAACTGCTAGTTGCTTGGTCTCACCCTCATGCATCTCAGCTTGATGTCCAGCATGACCCCAGCTGGCGTGTACCGACTGACCGGCATTCGCGGCGTCTTGATCCAAACCCAAACTCAGAATCCTGGGGACACAGGGCATTCCTCGAAATAGCCCCGCCCAAGTCTCTCGCTCCCGACATGCGCATGAACCACCACCTTCCAGTGAGCCAATTCTTTCCCGGCCCAAGGAGCCGGCTCTCTTCAGAAACTCCTCTCTGCCCACCTCCTGACGCCTCAGGCGGCTCCGCCCCAGCGGTTGACTTCGAGACCCGTCGCGCGACTGGCTCTTTAGATGACCTCGGTAACCCTGCTTCAGCCCGCAAAGGGCCTAAGGAGTAGAGAAAAATCCAACTTAAGGCATTACACCAGGGGAATCCACAATTTACCCTGTTGCCGTGGAACCCACAAGAGTCTCCGATTCTCCGGAAAAAGCAATATGTTTGAAACATAGTATTGTTTTGTTTTCAAAAAAAACAAAAAACATACAAACCCGGACCGCATCCCTCAGTCAGGTTCCATGTTCGACGGCTACCCCCTTTGAGCGCAGGGCTCAGCTGAGGCTCTGACGAGGTGCCCTCGGCCGCGAGTTGCCGCTCCACCAGCATCTGCGTGGCGATGCCCGCATGGTCGGTGCCTCCGCGAATCCGCGGGAGTCACGTCGAAAGGTTTTTCACACCGGTGGGTCGGTGTGCGGAAGCGCGTTTGCAGTGCCCCAAGGGTTTGGATGTGTTGCTTTTGTGTCAGTTTGGTTTGCGCTTCTTTTTTAGCCAAACGAGAAGTCATCTCTGCGTGTGGCGAAGGAAAAGCCCAATGCAGCGCCAAAGCGGATCGGCCTGGCAGCCAAAGAGTTTGGTCACCGCGCATCCGATGGAACCGTGCCAAGACCTTCCAGCCAGGCACGGCCACAGAAAACGCCCCCGAAACCCACGCGACATCCAGGCGACCGGCATCTTCCAGGCTGACGAACATGGCATGACCTCTGGTGAGTGCCGTCCGGCATCTCCTTTTTGGGAAAATAGATGGGTTTCCCTGATCAACGGAATAAAAACCAAATAAAAGGACACCTATGGGCACTGGCTCAATCCTTGTGGCTGGGGCGCATTTCAAGATCCTTCAGGCCATGAATTGGCTCGTCACAAGCAAGAGTGCTGTGACAGGATGAACTGAGCAACCGTGCCCATGTGCAGCCTGTGCGAAAGAGACGACATGTTGCTGCAAGTGCGAGCAACGCAGTGGCTTGCACATGCACCCAGCCAGAAATGGTCCCGTCTGCAATTTGAAGCGGCCTCATGCATCTGCTCAGTTGGGAGTGGGTCAAAAAAGGTACTCAAAATGGAACCCTGGCAAATGGAAACTGGTACTAAAACCTCCAGTCCCCTGGTGCTTTAGTTTTGAGCCATACCCCCTTGGGAATCTTCCTTCTCTCCGAGCCTGCCAGTGACGTTGGGTGGCGGCATGGGCATGACGTAGGACTCGCGGTCCGACTTTTCTTGAGGGACCTGGCATTGATTGAAAGCCAGAAGCTCTTGCTCAGTTGGATGCCTGAACGCGCAGGTCCTGCTATTCGACTGGCCCCATTCCGTTGAACGGAACAAGGGTGTTCACCATGAGCGAATTCTCGAATGTGCGCTTGAAGCCCATCTGCCAGGAACTCTGGAACCTCCAAGAATTCCGAAAACATCTATGGACTACTCCGGACATCTAAGGGCCAGCATCTACTATGGACTGCCAAGAAATGAAAACCTCCAGCGCTGAACGGTCCATGTCCCGAACCCGCAAATGCCTCAGGCTCCGAGCCTTCTCAGCTACCTCTGGCTTGAAGAAGCCGGCAGTCTCCCACCAACCTGCGCAGCAAAGGTGACTGAGACATGGAAAAACCGCACATAGATGGCGCCGCTTTTTTTGTGTTTTCGTGTGGTTTCCCTTCGAAGCTGCGGGAATTGGGGCAGATCTCAAGCTCAGCTTGCGGCGATACAAGTCCTGCTCCACGAGAGAGGGCTCGTATCTACCAGGCATCGACCTCTGCATTTCGCATTCGGAAAGAGAACCAAAGGTTCGGTCCATGCATTTCGTTGCCTACCTCAACCAGTTGTCAAGGCCAACGGTCGTGGCGAATGTAAAATTGTTCTGTTTTCGAACTGCGAGGTTCCCAAACTCCTTTGTTCTCCCCTGCAAAAAGGGGAAGGGAGCAGAAGAGGGAGATCTCCCGGGCTCCAGCAGCCGCATTTTCGGCGGGTGGCTTCGAAGACCTCCGAAGGTGTTTGGCTCAGGCCGTGTCCCGCTCATCACGGAGGCCGGGCAGGTCTCCGCCTTGCCAGGGCTACTTGAACAGCCACCGGATGCCACCAGAACTTTGCCGAAACTTTGGGGTGTCTTTTTGTTGAGGATATACTCTCTGTTGGTGGGTTTTTAAAGGGAAAGCAAAAGAAAACCCACGATTTCAGCACTCGCCGATTTGTGGCTACAGATATTCCTTGTCCTTGACGCGACCAGCAGAATCCCTGGATGCTTCCTTCTTAGGTGTGAGTAGAAACCTCATCACAACTTCTCAATCACCCCGTGCTCAGTCCGAAAAGACGGGGCCAGTCGACCCTCGAGGGTTTCCCCTACTCCCAAACCATTGCATTACCCCCTGAGCGGGGGGGGGGGGGGGTTCGGGAAAAAACAACCATAAACTATGTGGCCACTCTATCAAGGGTTTATATACCCCACTTTCCCCTGGATATACAACCAGATGGCAAGGGTATATGTACCCCACTTCCCCCTGGAGTGGTCGTGGTTTGATACTAAACCATCTCAGACCTTCGCTTCTGGCGCCGCTTTTTTCCGGGACGTGGCTACAAATACAGCGAGGCCGCAAAGATGATGCCGCGCTTCAGCCGCGCCCGGCCTTCGTTTAGCTTCCTTGGCGCTTCCCAGATCTTTGACCAAAAGGGGCCTAGGGTGCCTTTGTGGTTGGCACATGGGCATGTTTTTTTTTGGGGGGAGCCCTTTGGTCTTTGGTGGGTCTTCTTGTGGCATGGGGGTTGATGTCCACGGGTGTTTTTGGCGGCACTTCGCAGACAGGGCTATAGTGAAGATGCCAAAGCACGGACCTCAAAGAGTTGAAATCTATGATATGGACCCCACACACACACACGCACGCACGCACGCGCACCCGCACCCGCACCCGCACCCGCACCCGCACCCGCACCCACACCCACACCCACACCCACACCCACACACACACACAGACACACACACACACCCACCCACCCACGCACGCACGCACGCACGCACGCACGCACCCACGCACCCACGCACCCACGCACCCACGCACCCACGCACACACACACACACACACACACACACACACACACACACACACACACACACGACTACTGTATTGGTCGATGTTGCTCTTCCAAAGCGGATGTATTTGGTTTGGGTTCAACCCCCAAAGGGGGGTGTGCTCGGATGTTCGGCCAAGTCAAGTGGTTACCCACTAACCCACAAATAAAAGGGTCAATTTCACTAGGGGGGACTTACAAGTGGGTTATAACCTATAGGTTGCAAACAACTGACTAACTTGGCAGCCACCACCCACGTGATTTCCTCCCGTTGATTTTTCTGACGCCACGGGATCCAGCGGATGGTTTGCATCCGATCCGAGACACGCCGCCAGCTCCTCGTTGCCGATGGTCTTGGCGGCCGTGGCCAGCTCTCGGATCAACTCCTCCAGTCGTCGTATCACCCGCACCACGCTGCCCTCGTAGAGGTTGCACTGGTTCCTCGGGGCCAAAAAAGTTCAGCGGCGGCGGTTTTTAAACCGCCAGAGGGAAAATTGGGCTGTGGCCCATATGGGTTTGTCGCAAACTAGGTGAACCCTCCAATTTGGGGGGGTTCTCTGTTGGCTTGCCTTGAAAAAGCAACCAATCGGGGGTTCCCTAAACCCATATCTTCCTCAAAGCTGTAAACGCTTCTTTCTGACACAACCGCCTTTTTTTGGGCGACTGGAGTCACTGGCTTCCCATGCAAATTCCGGGGTATCTGGCATCCAGTTCTGCCTAAGGCCAAGAGCATTGAAACACATGCACCGATTCCTCATCTACCACAGCAAGCACCAGTTGAGCTGGAACAAGCCTTCAACAATGGGCCATGGGAGTTGAATGCAATCGTTCATCCTCCGAAAAAAAGAGGGAAAAAAAAAAAAACGAGATTACGCTGCGCTATGGCACCCTTTGCTACAAAGTGGGGTGGGAAGGCAAAAAAATTGGCAACGCCGTTAGTCCTCAGCCACCAGCTCTTAACTCATTCTCATAAGGGGGTTCTCAAAAAGTCTTGAAATAGGCGTCCCCTCAAACAGTTGCTTTCTTGTTCACTTCCCTTCAAACCAAAAGGGGTCATAGGCCATTTTCAGACACCTCAAGACAATTCTCTCCCGGCGATCTGGAGGAGTAAAGCTCGTGGCTGTTTCTATTGGTGCCAACATGGGAACAAAAAAAGTTCATACACCCTGCCGGCCCTTCCTACGCTTCCTCCCATGAAACCAGCCGTAAAATCAATCACCTACATCGCCAAATTTCCGCACTGTTTGGCACGCTTTGGTGAACAATGTGCCACCTGACTGGTCCTTCTCCACCCCTAAAGTGGCGACCCACGTGTCTCAAAATGGCGAGCCCTTTCTTGGTCAAGAGAAACCTCAGTTTGAGGAACACCTGCATGTCTCACAAAACGGGGACCCCCAAATGGCAACAACCGGCGTTTCCCTTTTGGCTTCCTTGTAAAAGCAACCCGTGGGTTTCCCTTTTCCCCAGACACCAAGGGCCGGCCGCGAGCCCCGAAGCCCCGAAGCCCCAAAGCCAGGGCTCATAATCTCATGGAAGCGTTTGCCCTCGAGCCAGTTCAGTACCACCTCCATCAGCTGAGGCTTCAGCTTCTGCACGTACTCCTCCACGTCTATGGGGATCTTGTTCTCCACCTTAGGCAAGGCGCGTTTGAGCTGGGGACCCGGAAAAACATCCCGAGGGTTGAAAGGGAAAACACACACAAACCATCGACCTTTCCGAATTTCAAGAAGCGATGTTGAACTCCGGACATGGACTTGAACCACCTGGAGCCCGACAAAACTCCGAAGGGCATGGCGTGACCTTTTGGATTCGTCTCCACACGACCTAATTACACACACACCTTTTTTTTCTGCAGCCATTCTACTCCATTGCTGGCAAGTGCCACACATCCATAGCTTCAAGGCGTTTCTACTAGCAGGGCTCCCTATATTTCCCCTTAGCACATCCCCCTCACCAAGGGATAGCCCCCCTTTCATGGGCCAAAAAGGTGACGTGTTCAAAACCGCAAAACCAAAAAAAAGAGAGGGGAAACAAATCCCTCGAGGGAGTTGGACTCACTTTTGGCTGAGGTGGGCGCCATCACCTCGGCCACATTGCGGGCGATGCCCTTGCAGGTCTCGAAAGCCTTCATGAGCTCCAAGTTGTTGGTGATGGGATCCTCCGACTTCTCGTCGAAGACCAGGCAGCTGCAGAGCGCGATGATGTTGTTGGAGTCCACGTCCGCGAAGACGTTCTGGAAGACGATCCTGAGATTGAGTTCAGTGAGACACCGCAGGCCTGAAGTCTTGAAGCTTTGGTCGCTTGAAAAAAAAACAATGAACCAAGAAATGAACATGATACTGTGGATGGACAAAATCCTGCACCACTTTGAAACCATGGGAAACCATTGTTTGTTGGTATTTGCAGGGGGAGTCATCATTCTTGGGTTTCTTGGGTGGTGCGAAATGGATTTCGTCCATCCACAGTAGTGACAAGACCAGGAAGAATTGAAAGAGGGAGCCGCCTGACAGAACCGCAGCCGAACCCAGCTAGGGTTCTCTGTCATCAAGATCTCATCGCAGGAGGTGATCTCGCAGGCCATTCGGCCCTTGAGTTGCACCACACCATCCTTGTCGATGAACTCCAGCCTGGCAGCGCGCGCTCCTCCCTACTCGGTTGCTTTCTGCTCCCCTGCTAAAAGCCGAATCTTTTGTGGTTTAATGGAAAACCCATTAGTTGGCAAAAAGCTAGTCAGTCCTAATATCCCTTGGCAAAATGCGCCAAAGTCCCCTCCCCCTGCCATTTGCTTTTCCGGCCTCCTCAAGACCCGGCGCATGGCGCGCAGATCGTCGCTCATGACCTCGGCGAGGCGTTTTTGTTCTTCCGATCGCTACCACCGAATCGCGCGCTTCGAGCCGGCGCGAGTCTCTGGGGTCTTGGCCATGAAGCGGCTTTGATTGATCTGCTTCTCCAACTCTTGCACTTGACCGTGCAGCTTTACCTCGAGACTCGAGAGATGACTTCCATCGAAAAACCAGACCAACGGCCTTCAGAACCCGAGCAACGTCAGGGCTCGCGCTGGGACCCACAGAGCCTGACACCACCCCTGACGAGGCGCCCTCTTGGCGAAGCAGTCGTAGTAAAGCTGCATCTTGTCGTGGCCGTGGAAGCTGTTGGCTGCCAGCTTCTTCCCCAAATCTTTGATGTTCTCATTGATGCTGGTCATCTCCTGTATGCAAAAAGCTCAGCTATGCTGGGGATGGTTTGGGAGCGCCTGGAAAAATGGTACAAGAACTCAGAAGCATCACGACTTCAACAAAAAATACTTAAAGTCAAGCATGCAGTTATGCGTACATGTGTCTACGTATACATCTAGTATGCCTTTGGACCTCCGTGATTCCTGGTCAGCCGAGCACTGCGTCAGTCCGAATCATTCCCCTGGATCACACAATGAATAGGAGCGAAATGTCAATATACGAACAGGCTGGACAAATCACCCCTGAGAGTCCCAACTTGCAAGGAAGCCACCAATTTTTGCCTAGATTCTAAAAAACGGTTTGGGTGCGCTTTTTGTGGATTCAACCTGGATCCAGAAAAGCCACGTGCAAACCGTTTTCTAGGTATATACCAACTACGTGTTTGGCAGCACATGCCAACAACTACGTAAGTGGGACTAGTCCCAAGTGCCCCGGCCTCGCCCTTGATGTTCATCTCCCCGACCGGGTCAAGCTCAGGGATGCCCTGCTTGAAGCTCTTGTGGTTCTTGATCTGTTGCAACGTTTTCAGCAAGGCCCTGCGCGACTCCTCGCTCTCGGGATCCTCAGCTCGAGCACAGACAGCTCACTCTCAGGAAGATGCACGCCCCAGATCCAGTCGTGAAGGGAGGTGTCTTTTCAATGGGCCTCTAATCTTTGTCCACGGATCCACCTGCCTCAAACAGCCGAGCAAAAACAAACACACACACACACACACAAAGACGAACACAAACACAAACACAAAGACAAAGACAAAGACTAACACAAACACAGACACAGACACAGACACAGACACAGACACAGACACAGACACAGACACAGACACAGACACAGACACAGACACAGACACAGACACAGACACAGACACAGACACAGACACAGACACAGACACAGACACAGCACAGCCACAGCCACAGCCACAGCCACAGCCACAGCCACAGCCACAGCCACAGCCACAGCCACAGCCACAGCCACAGCCACAGCCACAGCCACAGCCACAGCCACAGCCACAGCCACAGCCACACACACACACACACACACACGCCCGCCCGCCCGCCCGCCCGCCCGCACGCACGCACGCACGCACGCACGCACCCACACACACACACACACTTACACACACCGGCCTTCACATGTGGTTGCGGGTGGGCTTGCAGCCGGGCTTCTCCCGAGGGCATGTTGGACCGGATCTTGCTGATCTTCTGCACCAGGTTCAGCGCCATCGGCAAAATCCGGCCCTAGGGAGCCACATCGGTTCGAGCGGTTCGAGCGGTTCCAGAAACGGTCATGGGAGTATGTCATCGTCGGTCGGGGGAAGTCTTATGGGTCGTAGAAGTTTCCTGTCTTCTCGCCCTTCCCCCATTCTTGAGAGAAAGCTATTATGATCCCATGGACTAGTGGTCGGGCTCAAGTTCTCAAACCCGGGCGTTGAAAGGCGGAACATCCCTGCAGACTTGAAAGGCTTCGAACCGCACGGAAGGCCGCTTGCATAAAAGAATCCATTCATTAGATGGCTTTGAGCCTTAGATGATCTCTCATGAGTGGACGAAGCATCCTACCGGCTATCTCTACTGGATGGCTACCATCTATCCCATCTCACAGCCAACTGCCATGCTGGGCCATTGCTGGATGGTCAGAGGCATAACCCCCTTCTTTTCGAAAGCACAACTTAACCAATGGCCAAGCCCCTTGCTGGGAAAAAACACATTGGGTTTGCCTCTGAAATTGGGCGGGAGCCCTTGGCCGCCCTTTTGGTTCCCCTTTCAAGCCACCCCAATTAAAAGGGGCCCTCAAAAAGATTGACACACCCAATTCTCCAATGGGAATAACTTGCTGGTTCTCAGCAGGGAATGAGTTGGAATGACCAAGAAAAAACGTCCAACCTACGGTTTTTGGCCCATGTTTCCCACTTACCAGGGCAAGCCATTTTTGTACCGGTTTTTTGAGCCACAGCCATGTTGCTGGTGCCATTTCATGTGGCTGTGGTGGTCAAAACCGTTTTGGGATCCCATTTTGGAGTAGGTGAATTTTAGAACCTGTTTTAGTGGGGATTGGGATATTCACTGGGGGGTAACCGGGAATTTGACCCATGGCCATCTCATGTAAACCAAAAACCAGGTGACCCTCTAGAAAACCGTTGGTCTTCTTTCTTCTTGATCTTGCTGGTCAGTTGGGGTTATTCCCATTGGGAACAATAGGCGTGTCATGGGCATGTTCCCAGTATTTGCCATCATCTCCGGAGGAAATGAACATGGGTCATGTTCACGGTACCATTACTTGCTGGTGCGATAGCTAGGGTATGACAACGAGTCCGGGTTTCGGGAATGAACCGGTTTGGGGGATTCCGAATAAAGGAACCCTGCGGTTTGCCCCTCCACTCGTTTAATTTTCAGCCACCCTCGCATCACCCCCTGCGCTTTCCAACCGCCCCATCGGAGCTCGGAGTCCGTGTCGCCTCCGGCTTGGCGCCGTTGGCGGGCAACGGCTGCTCCTTGGCGTCGGGGTCGCAGGGCAGGAAGACCTCGGCAAGCCAAAAAGGTCGAAATGAAAACCCCAGATGGCGGGTGGTCCTGTTGGTTTCCCTTCTAAAACCCACCATTAAAAAAAGGTACCCCGGAAAAACAACAGGCTAGTGTTCCTTTTGCGTTTCCCTTTAAACCCACCACACAAAAAAAGGCACCCCGAAAAAAGGAAGAAGAAAAACACACGGATGTGAAAATGGTTCATAAGAGCCCTTTCCAAACACATTCATTTTCCCGGCTTGGGGCAATTTTCGGAAGAGAAGGATCCTGTGGGGAAGGCACGGCTCGAATGGTTTCAAAACCCCTTTGCAAGAGTCTCCAGCCTCCAGGACCCACTGGGGCTCCGCTTCCTCCAGCACCGAGGTGGCCAACTTCTTGCGGGAGGCACTGATGAGAATGCCCCAGCCCCAGTCCGTGTCCCCCTCTTGCATGTACCTCGGAGCATCCAATACGGATGTGTTCTAGTAGCTAGCCCCCCAAGCAAACTCAGAAACATTCCTTGCAGGTGTTCTAGCTCAGGAAAGATCCGGGCAAACTCATGTTACCTTGCTTTTGCAAGGGTGTGCGAAGCAAACCTTGAACTCAACAACATCTACACACCTTCGGCGGCCTTCAAGAGAGCCGCCTTGATGGCTGGCACTAAGCTTGTCTATTGAAACCGTTCACGCTGCGTCATCTGAAATGGCACTGGTCCAATTTCTGTTTAAAGGCTTGGGAGAATCGAAGGGGAAGGTAGGCTCCGACGACTGCCTTGGCATCCATTTGCGAATCCGTCCCCTGAAAAAGAAAAAGAACAACAAAATATTGCCAGTAGTGATAGCTGTCCTTAAAAACCAACAGCGGAGCACATAAATCATCTCCTTCAGCAAGTTTAAATGGAAGTTAACTTCAGCCAAAGCGCACGAGCCGGCCTGGGTTCAGAAACGGAGCGATATTCTCTGGGCGAGAAATGATCTCGCGGCGCTCATCCATCTTCTTCTTCAGCTGCTTGTCTATGTAGAAGTAGTCGGCGATGGACTCATCCACGTTGAAGTTGTAACTGCTGGTGTCCTCTCCAAAGGCTTTCCGGTTCTCTTTGGCCTCTTGAAACAAGCCTAGGGGTACCTGCAAAAAGACAGACCCATACTTCCCCCGGACCCAGCTGACTGAAAAGAACCTCACTTTTTGGCCCTTGCTAGTTGTCTCAGCTTTTCAAATTTGGACGTTGGTAATCGTTTGGCTATAACTTACTTACAAGTCCCACCCCCCTGAGTCCTTAGTGAAATTAAGCTTGCTTTTTGGTGTGCTATAGCCCAAGTGGCGATCTCCACTTACTAACTTGGCAACGAACATCCAAGGAGTAAAAGGTAACCCTTAGGTCCAAACCCATTCATACATCCAAGGTGGGGTTCACCTTGTTCTTTGTGGGTTACCCAAGTGACCAACGAACTTCTCCGAAACCAACCCAAATGCGGCGACCAACGGCGACCCGTCCTTCACCGCCACCCGGAGGTCCTCCAAGTTCGCCACCTCCGTCTCCAAGTCCTGCTTCCTCGCCTGAACCTCCAGCGCGCTCTTGTCCTTCTGGAACTGGTGGAAGGAGCGCCTGGGTCTTGCACCACTCCCAACTTTTGGCTTGGGAATCCATGTGCCTTCACCAAGAGTTCTGGTTTAAAAAAAAGACATTTCCTAGGACACCGCGATTGGTTTTTCGCACACCAAAACAAAGTGGGCTTCCTGGAAAACCAACATGTGAAATTCCTGGGAAACCCCTGTCTGTGGCTTAACACACACAACCCCAAAAAAACCGCCGGGCGATTTTTCGTAGCTGGCGCGCTGGATCATATAGTCCGGATCCGCCCCCTCCAGGCGCAGCAGGTTGATGAGCATGTTGTAGCCCAGGTGGAAGGCGCTAAAGATCTTGGAGCTCTGGCCCAGGAACATCTCCTTGGCCACCTCCGGCTCCACCTGATGGGAAACAAAATCCCCATCCAACCACGAGATGGGTGGTGAACTCACCTAAAATGGGTGGTGAATTCCATAAAATTTCAACTAAGATGGGTGGTGAATTCACCAATCCCAACCAAAATGCGATCCCAAAACGGTTTTGACAACCACAGCCACCTTCTCGTCGAACATGATGATGGTCAGCCCCCGGTCGTCCTTTAAAAAACAAAACAACTTGAGTCATCATCAAACCTGGTATGAAAATGGTCGACAGAGAACCATGTGAAGAATTAAGAAGGCGGCCGCAGCTATTTATGGTTGGGATTGTCCCTTACTGACCTTCACTTACCTGGGAATTGATTGTGACGCACTTGGCGAGAGATGTGGGGAAGGAGAGAGATATGGGGGTGTCGCCTTTTTTTGAGGGTACCCCTCCTTTTGGTGGATTTCAAAGGGACATCAAGAGACAATCACCAATTTTAGGGGTTGCCCTAAAAAAGACATACTCATATGGCTTCCGAGCCCGAGATGAACCATCCAGGTGGTTTCCTTTGAGGGGAATTGTGGGCTCATTCACACATTCCCTACCGAGCACCAGCAATCCAACGCCGGAAGCCACCCACCGACCAACCACCCACCCAGCCCAGCCCAGCCGTCCCATGGAAGACCACAAAAGCAAAACAAAACCAACTGGCACGACCTAGCCTCCCACCCAGCCCAGCCCAGCCGTCCCATGGAAGACCACAAAAGCAAAACAAAACCAACTGGCACGACCTAGCCTCCCACCCAGCCCAGCCCAGCCGTCCCATGGAAGACCACAAAAGCAAAACAAAACCAACTGGCACGACCTAGCCTCCCACCTTTTTCACAAGGAACCCGACATTCAGGACGCGGTCCCTTTGGAAGGTCGGACAATGGTCCAAACCAGGACCGATTCCTCGCACGTGGAAGGGTTCTGTGTGAAAAGTGTGGGAGGGTTCTTCTATTGAACAGGTGGGTATGGGTCAGAATTAAACCACCAGGGGACCGCAGGTTTTAGTCCTTGGTTCCATGTACTAGGGTTCCAAAATGGATCCCCATTTTTGACCCACAGCCAGCTCACCTAGCCCTGTCCTTGCCACGCCGGCCCGCGCGCCCGCTCATCTGGATGTACTCCCCGGCGTGCAAAATCCGGTACTCCAAGCCGTCCCACTTCCGGGTGTTGGTGAAGACCACCGTCTTCGCCGGCATGTTGATGCCCATGGCAAAGGTCTCCGTGGAGAAGAGCACCTCGAGTCAAAGAAGAAGAAAAAAACGAAACCCCGGGACCATTTGGCGTGGTCAAAACCCGTTGTGGTTGATCCCATTTTGGGGGATTGGTGAATTCACCACCCATTTTAGAACCTATTTAGTGGGGATGAAAAACGGTATGAAAACGGTATGAAAACGGTCTACCCAGAACCATGTAAAGGAGTAAGAAGGCGGATATCCGCAGCTATTTCTGGTTGGGATCGTCCCTTACTAACCTTCATCTACCCAGGTTTTGATTGTGGCTCACCTGGAGTCACCATTAAGACCCGAAACCCCGGGACCATTTGGCGGTGGTGGTCAAAACCGTTTTGGGATACCATTTTGGCTGGTAGGTGAATTCACCACCCATTTTAGAACCTTTTTTGGTGGGGATGGGGAGGTTCACTGGGGGTACGATCTGCATTTTGACCCATGGCCATTTCAAGGGTTGACCCACCGTGAAAACTAAGAAGGCGGAGATCCGCAGCTGTTTCTGGCTGGGAGTGTCCCTTACCTTCATCTACCCAGGTTTTGAGCAGGTGGCTCACCTGGAAAAAACGGTCGCCGGTGTCTGCATCCGGCAGAAAATTTGGGACGTGTCAGTTCTCCAAGTCTTTTGCTACAGCTGAGTCATGGCCAAATTGGAGAGGGCATCAAAACTTGCGGAGCCAGTTTTGCCCTTCTGGAAGGCGATTCCTATTCGTCAATCCACTAGAGAACCAGGCATCACAATCCATCCGACTCGGAAGGAAAGCCTGCTGGGCTGTTGTGTTCCGTTGGGTCCCTCTTGCTTTTCCAAACCCAACTTGTTTGCCGCCCAACAACTCGTGAGGCATTTAACCCGCAAAATAAGCAGCAGCCGAAAACTCAGCGCCTCCGGGTTCCAAGTCCGAGTAGGATTTGCACGGTGCATCCCGCTCAATGGACTACCAAAAAACAAGAGCCGGGGGGATACGCTGTCCCTACCATTCCGGTGAAATGGCCGTGCCTTGATCAGCGACTCCTGGAAGAGGATCTCCACAACCTAAGCGTGCCACATGGAGCCCTGCCATACGAAATACGACATCTCACCTGTTCAGAAAGAACACGAAGGCCGGCTTCCCGTAAAGCTTCCTCTAAGAAGAACCTCCCACACCCCACGCACACCCCTTCCCAAAAAAAAGAAAGAAGAAAAAAGCGGAAAGGGCGCCTGACTTCACCTGAACTCACCTGAATTCACCCCCCCTTTGTCCGGGCCCCCACCCATGGAACCCGCCTCCTTGAGCATCGGCAGCAGGCCCCCGTGGTGGATACCCAGCCCCCGGCGCAGCAGCGGCAGCATGGACTGCACCTTCCGAAAATCCCCACAGCCCCAACGACCTTTTTTTGGACCCATGGGTACGGTATAGCTTACTTCTCCCAATTCCTCCAGAGGCTAGAATAAGGGTACCGACTTTTTCTGTAGTCTGTTTTAGTAGAGGTACTCCCCCGAAAAAGGGTGAAAGGGCACTACTGGGGGACCTAGTCTCCCATTTCTTGTTGTTGAAATAGACCCTTTTTCGTGGTTGGAAGAGTCACTTCGCCCATTTGGGTTTAGCTTACTTCTCCCATTGAGTTGGTGGCCGAAATGTCCTTTTTAAATATCTGTCCTTGGCGGTTTTGGGAGTCACTTGTCCAAGATTTGGTGGTTGAAACATCTCAACTCCTTGTTCCATGGTTTGCCCCAACCAACGTCATCCCTTTGCCGAACCTCTTGAGGTACCCACCTGCGGCAGCTCCCGGTCCTCGTCCCCTAAAGTCCTCAGCGAACGAAGCCCGGGAAAATTTCTGGGGAGGACGGTTTGGGATGTTGTTTGTTGGAAAACATATGTGGCCATGGGTCAAAATCCAGATCGTACCCCCAGTGAACCTCCCCATCCCCACCAAAAAAGGTTCTAAAATGGGTGGTGAATTCACCTACCCCCAAAATGGGATCCCATTGGGTTTTGACCCACGGCCCTATATGTTTTGTTGCAGGAAACCGGCCCCAGGCTGGCGCCACAGCAAGCTGTGCCGCGCTGCCCCGTTGTTGGCGGGAAAACACAACAGGAACCAAAAACACGAAGAAGCCATGGAACCAATGGAACCAATGGAACCATTGGAACCAATGGAACCAATGAAACCAAGAAGCATCGCAAGTGAGCTTCATGGGTTTTAACGGGGGCCACTTCCTCCAGGGTGTTGGTTTCCTTTGGCTTCCCGTCTCTGAAACTATGCCGAAAAAAGGTTCAATATGTTGAGACACACCTCAAGCAAGGGGCCGTGTGGGTGCTTCCTATTTGTGGCACCCGCGTTGGGAACCCAAAAAAGGGGGGCTCTTCCACATGTTTGGCGCATGGAAAACCCAAAAGGCTTCCCAAAGAAGATCGAAGATGGGAAACCCAAAAAGGAGGTGCCAGAGCAAGGGTCCCCATGTTCCTCGTGATGTTAGGCGCTAACAAGCGCCCTGCAGTGAGGGCGGGGTGCTTCCCAATGGACCCCCTGTTGGGTGTCTCGGGGATTCGCACGTCGGGAAACTTCCAGGTGAGCTGTCCGAAGCTATCATGTCATATGGCTGTGGGTCAAAGCCAATGGGATCCCATTTTGGGGTAGGTGAATTCACCCCCCATTTTAGAGCCTATTTTTGTGGGGATTGGGATGTTCACTGGGGGTACGGGATTTTGACCCACAGCAGTGCGGGCATGGGTCATGATCGCGTTGTTGAAGACCTCGTCGATGAGCCTCTTCTCGTCATCATCCGTGACCTGGCTGGCTGTTGACCCCGTGCAAAAAGTGGTTAACTGTTCGGGGGTTTAGTGACAAACCGCTTGATTTCAACCAAAAACTTAAAGTCTAAAGATTCAACCTAACGACAACAACATCAATAATCCAAAAACTTAACGCTCCAGCTAACTTAAAGTCAAGAAGTTGATTTACCAACCTAGTCCATCCATCTTCTTGGGGCGTCCATTTCCCAATCGCAGCCAAGTGACGTCCATCTTCTTCAACGCAACGGCATTGGCCTCGCACTCCTTTCGGCTGAAGGAGAAGACGATCAAGGGCAAGTAGCCTCGGTCGCTGCACATCCGCACGATCTTCTCCAGATCTCCCAAGTTGGCTTTGCCCTTCTTCTTCTGCACCTTCTTGGTGTCCACGTTCCTTAAGGTTGCCGTTGAAAGGGGGCAAAGACATTTCATTTGTTTAGCAGTTCAGTGGTTGGATTTCAACCACTAAACCACAATAAACAAACATGTAAAATGTGTCCCAACAACAACTCCCCCGCTAAGAGTGGCTAACTTTTAGTGGGTTAAATGGAAACTACCAGGGATACCACTAAACACTAAAAAGCTAAAAGGCTAAGGACCCGGATGGCCTCACGAGCCGAGGTTCGTGGACTCTGCAGCGTTCTGCAGGGCCGTCAGGGCCTTGTGGAAGTTGTCCTCCCGGAACTGGCCCTTTTCATCCACCACCATGTACACGCCATCACCCCCAGCTGGAAACAAATAGTGCTGGAGCGGAACTGGGCGCTTGTCCGTGTAAATCACGTGACATGGCTGATGCTTGATTCGGCCTCGCCGAGTTCAGGTCTGCGAAAGAAGTGGCTCGCTTGTGGGTGAAATTCGGAAACCCAACCACCAAACCTACCCCCCCCCCCCCAAAAAAAAAAAAAAAACACAAACAAACGCACACACACACACAAACACAAAAACAAAAAAAACTAAGGAGCAGGATGGCTGGAAGCTACCAAGCTACAAATCCATTCCGCGAACTCCCGTGCGTTGGGAATGGTGGCAGATAGAAACACCAGCCGCACGGAATCCGGCAGCAGGATCATGGCCTCCTCCCATACCACACCTCGGTCTCGGTCTCGCATGTAGTGCACCTCATCAAAAACCACCCACGCCACTTCCCGGGACACGTCTGAGCCGCGGTAGAGCATAGACCGCAAGATTTCAGTGGTCATGATCATGCAGGAGGCATGGGGGTTGATTGTAACATCCCCAGTCATCAGACCTACATCTTTGAACTCATCTTGCAGATCTCTGTACTTCTGGTTGCTCAAGGCCTTGATGGGCGAAGTGTAGATGATCCTTTGCTTGTCTCTCAGCGCCATGGCGATGGCATACTCTGCCACCACGGTCTTGCCTGCAGACGTGTGGGCCGCGACCATCACAGACTCCCTCCGCTCCAGGCAGCTCACGGCCTCTTGCTGGAACCTCGGGCTGGCTTTCTGCTCCCGCCCGGCGAAAAGCGAATCAAACTTTTGGTGGATTTTTCTACGGAAAACATCCACTTTTGGTGGATTCATACGGAAATCCTCCATTCGTTGGAGCAAAAAGTTAAAAACTCAGATCCCCAAGCATAAAATGCAGCAAAGGAACGTATCCAGCGCAAAGGGATACGCCTTGGCCGGCGCGCTGGGCAGCGGCGCCGGCACACCCCCCGCCGCCTCTGCAGGCCGGACGCACTCGTGGACGCAGTTGGCGCCGGCGCTTTGCACGTCGTAGGTCTCGAGCACCGTCTCGGTTTTCAGCTCGGCCATGGTCGCGTCCTTCCCCTCGCCCTCCTCGCCCTCCTCTCTCCTCTTCTTGGCCACCCCCGGCTCGCTCACCCCGCCGGGGAAACGCTTCGCCATGAGACAAAACCAGGGCAGGTCACGGGCGGCACATGGAGACTGCTTCTGGGTCTTGCTTGGCTTCTGAGCGGAAGAGGTTGCCTAGCAGTCCTTGCGTATTCTGGTAACTCTGCGTTGCTGGAGTGCGGCCCCTGTCGAACCTGATGAGCATAGCCGGTCTGTGTGGTTGCATGTAACTTGGACCAAGCGCTGCAATCCAGCCTCAAGCTTGCAAGTAGCTCAAGTCCAAACTTGAGTCTCAAAACGCGACTGAATGCATCCAAGGATGACTAGACAAGCCAGCGCAAAATCCGAATGCCACGAAACCAGTGACAGCTTTCATGTCCTTGCCTTTCCATCGCGCAGCCGCACGCGGGTGCCTGGACATCTCCGGAGTTGCACGTAGAGTCGATATGATGTCAGCCACATCTGGGTTCTTCCCCCCCCCCATCCCCCTCATCCCCATCCCCATCATCCGCACCCCCCCATCCCCATCCCCCATCATCCCCATCCCCCCATCCCCATCCTTTAACGAGAAAGATGGCAAGAACTTGTGACGTGCCAAGTGTCTCTGCCGCCGGCTCCGCATGCTGCGCACGCGCCGGCCAGCGCAGAAGCGGGCGACCAAAGCCACTGCCACAGCCTGGCCATCTTAAACCTGACTTGTCAGCCTTGTGTTGCTTCACAGGACATCCCTGTTTTTCTCGCTTCCTGAGTGGGTTGGCCCAAAAAGTCCAAACTTCTCGTCTGCCGCTCAGATGATCTTCCCAAAAACTATCAAGTCCATGAATTGAGCTCTTGATGTCAGTTCGCATATGGTTGGAATGAAACGCAGTCACCGACAAGATCGCAGAATACCGCAGAAATCGCGGAACGGATTTGCTGAGACTTGTGCCTGGCAGTCCAAAAAAAGGAAAGCAACCTGCGGCAAAGGGACAAATTTTCGGTTTGGAAAAAACGCCCTCCAACCTCGTCCCTCGCCTGGGGCGCCAACGGCGCTCGAGCCGGCGCCGAAGCCTTCGAACTTGGGGCTGTCCTGACCGAAACCCGGCGAACCGAGCCGCTGAACCGCGGTTGAACGCAAGACGCGCCTGGGCTGCGCATGGACCTGGGCTGGAGAGCCTATGCTTCTGGTTCTTTGGGCTGGCCCAAATACTCAGATCCCCCGTTTAAAAGTGACTAACTTTTAGTGGGTGAAATGGACATCCAAGCACTCCAGCTAGGCTGAAGAGCTAAGAGGCTGGGAACCACCAATTTCATTCATGTTTCTTCTTGATTTATCCAAGGGTGCGCGTCCCAAGCGACCGCGATGCCTGCGACTCGCACGAGTCGCATTTTTTCGCGTCGCCTCGCCGGCCCTTGGCGCCAGGAAGGCCATGGCGCTCGACATCTCGCCAGGATCTGCCAGGATCTGCCGTGCGCTGCACTGTGCGTTTCATGCCTTGCTGGCGCTTCCGCTTCGTGAACCGCTTCGAAGTAAAAGCGACTTTGGGCCAGAGGGGCAGAAAGGCACGGCGCGGGGCAAAAAAGACTGGCCCCGACATTGATCTTGACGTCCACGCATGCCCTCGTGCCACACAGAATGCAATGTGGAGGTGAGGTGCGGATATTTGATCACATGCCGCATTTGCTGCCCAGTGTTTCATTCGTAGGTTCCACATGCTTCCAATCGATTTCCCAGCCCACACCGCATCTGCTTCATTTTCAGCCACACTGGATCTGTGCTGGAGTAGGTCACATGTTGCTCAGGGAGAACCAGACCTGCCACTTCGCTTGCAACCTCCGCATTCGGTTGCAACATATTGCGCCTGAAACCAGACGCGTCATCGGCGGCGGCGAAGGCAGCAAAGATGCCAGATCCTCGCAAGGAAATGTCCCTTGTGACAGAGGCGTCAGAATGGCTCGGGACAAATTCACAAATATGTCCTGAAAAGCCACGACAGTGCTCATGAATGCGATACTGAAAGCTGCCAAAACGTGTCACTAGCTCGCATGTCGGCCTTGCCACACGTCTGCTGGGTGTCAATGGAGTAGGCGGCTGCATGAAGGCACATCGTGTCCTCACTGTGAATGTCTGGCAGCCAGTGTGAACATTCCCAGACGGGCCACCAATATTCATTGCTTCACCCAATTGACATGGGAGTTTAACGAGTGCCCCCGATGTCCTAATCTTGCTGGTTGCAGAGAATGAGGGAATGACCCCCATAAATAAACCCCCACGGTTCATTCCCACAACCCGGAAGGTCATTCAAGGGAGTGGTGCAGTGAGCATGACCAAAGATTCTAGGGGTTGATTCCCCATTCTTTTCACCCATCCTTCTTTTTCAAACACCCGCTGTTTTGCCAGGGTCTTGGGTGGTGTTTTAGAAAGAAGGATGCCTGGAAGCCCGAAACGGTTCATTCCCAAAACCCGGAAGGTCCTTCCTACCTAGCGTACCTGCAAGGAATGGTACAGTGAGCATGCGCCTCATCACAAGGCTCTCTGCCATAGAGCGCGTCCCCGGCGATGGGACAACCTCAGACTCGTGACCGGCACAAAAAAAGCTGATCGCTCCGAAACAAATGAGCCATGTCTGCGAGTCCTTTTAGCTTGTGGTAAAGGAAAACCCAACAGAAAGCCACCATCTTGGGTCCCTCAAACAAGGACACGCCCAAATGATGGTTCCAAAATCACTCCAATGTGCAAAGGACTCAATTGCTTGCGATGCAACCATTGGTTTGTAATTCAAGCACAGGGCAAGGCTGCCCTCACATCTGCTGACTCCTCTGTGACTCGAAAGCCGGTTTTGTGGGTTTTTCAGTCCCAGCCTTCGCTTCACTGCACATCAACATGGCTGTGGGTCAAAAACAGGCACCCAACATGGAACCCTAGATGAAAAGGACTAAAATTCCTGCAATCCCCATATCCTGATGGTGACGAATTTTGACTGGAACCCTAGATGAAAAGGACTAAAAATCCTGCAATCCCCATATCCTGATGGTGACGAATTTTGACCCATACCCACCTGTTCAATAGAAGAACCCTCCCACACTTTTCACACAGAACCCTTCCACGTGCGAGGAATCGGTCCTGGTTTGGACCATGGACCCCCAACTCCCCTTTTAAAGATCCCACTCCGAGTCGACTCAATCCCCGCCTAAAGCCGCGAGGTGCACGCGGATCTGGTGCGTGCGCCTCGACATTTTTCTCTCGCCACGGGACGCGCTGAATCTCCGCAACCCCGGACGGCCGGAACCGCCGGCTTAGTTCGGGCCGCAGGCCCCGTCTCGAGGCAGCAGAGCACCAGATCCGCGCCCAAACTTCGGAAGCGCGTCTCCGCAGCCTTGCCACCTCGGATTGGCGAAGCCGGCCGAAGCTTTCAACGACTGACATCTTTGAAGAGGATCTGAATTTGGGGACCCCTCTAAACCCACCCCACAGAATGTTTCACTCTCAAGCAAACACAAAAGTTCCCACAGTCTAAGAAACCAGCTACAGGAAATTCTATACGAAACCCCTGATTCTTGTGGGTTCCTATAGAATTTCCTGTAGCTGGTTTCTGTGACACAGTGGATGCGGCGCTTTTCCGCTCGCTTCTCGTTTCGCGGCCAACTGCTTCGCCGAGCCGCTGAGGTCCACAACCGTCGTGAGGGGCTGATCCGCCTGGTGCTTCTGCACGCGCAGCGGCAGCTTGCAGCAGATCCAGCCCTCGGCCAAGTCCACCCACTGCCTCAGGTCGACCAAAAAGGCCTCGGTCTCCTAAGGGAAACCCGAATGAACCCGACCAAAAAGGTACCAAAACACAACTTGAACCAACCCAAACAACAAAAGCACAACTTGCACCAGCCTCAAACAGACTTGAACCAACCCAACCAAAAAGAAAAAAAGAAAAACGCCCTAAGAGCCCCTGGTCGACCAAGCTGCGGCCAGCGCTCCTGTGCCGCCTCTGCATCCAGGCGCCCATGTACCCGGGCCACGTAGACCTAGGGCCCGCTTCGCAGGTCCGATCAAAGCCTAGCAACGCAGCAACGATTCCCTGTTGGTTTCCCTTCTTATACCAAAAACAAGAAACGGTTTTCGACTTTTCTTCTTTTGACCAAGCGGGGCCAGAGTCCATTACCAGCCCAACCGAGGCTTTTCCGATGGCTTCTCCCGATCGCTCCCGATCGATCGATCGATCGATCGCGCGCGCGCTCGCCCTTCGGCTTGTGCCTTGCGAAGCCCCATGCCATGCTCCTGCACCAGCGCCTCAGCTGCGGGAGCTCTGCTGGGGTGCTGGGTGCCGGAGGTCGGCCCTGGGAACCCGGCCATGTAGGCCTTGCGCGACTTGGCCAGGATCACCACCCCTGGCAGGGGAGATGTTTCAACCCAAAAAACATCTGCGCCTGAGGAGCAAAGTGCAGGGGGGTGGGGGGGGGGCGGTGGGGGGCCGGTGGGGGGCCGGTGGGGGGCCGGTGGGGGGCCGGTGGGGGGCCGGTGGGGGGCCGGTGGGGGGCCGGTGGGGGGGTGAATCTTGACCCAGCAATGCAGTCTATGGCATTCTGCGTTCATCCAGGAGAACGTTGCCAAAAGGAAGATGCAGAAAGTGGCGCTGCATGAGACTGGTGCCATCCTAGAACCTCTTGCCGCTGTCTCCTTTTCTGAGGCGCTTTGCGCTTGTTCATTTCACCTGCGGCAAATGCCCATGGTGCCTGATGTCTGCCGATCCAAGCGGTTCACCGGATGCAGGTAGGCATTCGCGTCCTAACAAAATAAACCAACTGGCTGCTTCCGCCTTAGGTACACAAAACCTCACCCGTCCGAATCTTCACACTGCAAATGAAGTCCCTGGTGCCAAAGTGAATGTCGACCCAGGACGCAACCTTCCGGATGAACAGTTCCCCGTGATCCGGCTCCTCTCACAACCCCATACCCATGGCTCCTCATGTGTCACGGCACATTGAGGCTTAACAATAGCAGCGCAGAAGTCCCTTCCCCCCCCACTTTGGTTGCCAACTCTCAACCAATACCTTTGTGGGGGGGGCAATGGAAGATAACCGTAGCCCTTGTCAAGCAACTCTCCCAGTGCAGAACTCCTAAAATCAACCAGAACTATTTTTGATCCCTTCCCCCACTCCCGTATGCCCACCAACCGAGCAGAAAA